CCCTCTCATCCGTGGACTCCCTGATTGTCTTAAGATGTTTGTAGCAAACACACAAGATCACATACTAGCTGCTTGTAGGGATGATGATAGTGGTTGTAGGCAAAATCCTAACTCTCCTATTCCCACCAGGAGTGAATTGGTACAAGACATAGATAAGTACGGACACCGAATGGGCTGGATTAATTCATCCAGTATTAAATCCCAAGACCACTCTCGGCGAGTCCGCCAAATCCACACTAAAAATCCCAGATATCCCAAATTCAAAGAGAGATTGAAACCTAATAGGGAACGAGGCGAGTTGTGTCAGCAAAAAAACTCTTATCCCCGGGGAGGGCAATGAGCCACCCTGCTCAGCAGGTATTAACAATTCAATGGCTCTCTAATGAACACTCTGACCCTATCATTGCCATTCTTGTTGAACCTCCAAAAATATTGGTCTTATTGACACTGGGACCCAAATATCAGTAATTACACATGAGACAGCACAAACCCTGAGCATAACACCTGGTCAACACAGGGTTAAATTCACGGGAATCAATGGTGTGGAAAAGCAATGCCCCACTGCAAAAAATTTCACTCTGGTTGCCAGAGGAACAAAAATTAACCAGGGTAGAAGTATTAGTTGGTGCTGCATATACTAATATTTTAGGATTTGACATACTGCATGGTCGTATGTGGAAACTCCCTGATGGAACTGCGTGGAGTTTCGCGACACATCAAAGGATTCAGGCACCTTGAGACTGAGCCTGTTACAAACATCCATATCCCTCTCCCCTGCTAAAATCTTATGGGGATTGACGGGGTGGTAACAGAATTGGAAAAAAGAGGCATTATTAAAAGGACCCATTCACCTTACAATTCACCAGTGTGGCCAGTAAAGAAACCAACCAGGCAATGGCATTTTACAGTGGAATACAGACAGCTGAATGCTAACACTACACCTTTGACTGCCACAGTTCCAAACATGGCAGAGATAGTGAAAGCCCTCTGTGTTTCTAACAGTAGCAATAGTGCTAACTACTCCCAAATATTTCTATGCATGGGAAATCAAAGATTGCTATTTCACCCTCTTTCTAACCCTGCCGGTTGAATACAACCGAGCATATTTTATTTTCTTTTGTGTTCACAGGAACCCTGAGCGAACTGTATATGGACAGCTGGAAGATGACGAATCAACAGTTTGGATTAATGATGCTATGCTTTACCCTGACCTTGATGCAATTACAGACCTTAAAGGAAACTTAGCTACTGTGGCTGTGCATGGAGCTGAGGTGTTTCACTGTGGCATTTAACCATGTATTGTCACAGTATAGCACAGTCACGGGAACATCTCAAAACAGAAAGGACCTAAATCTCTCTACTTTAGTTCTACATGGAAACAAAATATTTTCAAAAGATGAATGGAGTTGGAACAATTCTCTAAGAATGGCTGAACTTCAAGCCATGTCTGGACAGACAATACAAATTGGTTGCCAAATAACTAAAATAACTGAACCAAATTTTGATTGCTGGTACAATTTTACTTTCACCAAACCTATAATTTTGTACTGTCTCTGGGGCTACAGAGGCACAGAATTACTATTTGAATTCATGGTCAAAGGATATGAAGCCTCTGCCCCTGCAGATATTTGAAAACGAACCGACTCAGCCTCCCATTGGTCTAACTCCTTCCATCTTCAACACAGGTCCTTACATAATTAAAAATGTGGGACAACAACAAATTCTCTCTAACCCTAGTTGGTCCCTAAAAAGGGTAGAGCTAGCGCTGCACATTCTAAAACAATCTCAGCGCGTGCCACGGGATGCAACTGGGTTATTAGGGACAGGATTAGGTATATTAAATAGCATTGATGCTGAGGTCTTAATGAGTAGAATAACTGCTACTACAGATGACCTAAGGAAACTGGAACAACCAATAAAATCATCCTTATTGGCTTTAGGAGCAAATCAATGGCTTCTATCAGATGTTTTGCCCATTGGGAACAAATTGAGGAAAATGATCATCAATTAATTATAAATGCCCTTGGAAAAGCCCAAGGCAATACCTCCCTTGCCTTGAGCTGTATCCAAGTGCAGTTATGGATACAATCTGTAGCAGCAGCTATTATTAGAAAGGGAGAAGAAAAAAACTTTGCCCACTGAAATTCGAAAATTGATTTGGGATAATGCTTCAGAATTTGAAAAAGAATTTCAAGCTTGGTGGCAATTAGTCAACTTTACCCATTAAAATGATCAAATTGTTGCCTTTATACTTACTATAAGTAATGCCACCATATACAACGTATATCCAATCATTGCATTAGGACTCAGTCATAATGGAACTATACTTTATCCTAAAGAGCATAAAGTATGGGCCCATCAAAAGGGAGGAAAGTGGCAAACAATTGATGTAAATGCATGCATTGTGCGTGAACAAAAAGGTTTCATCTGTGAAAGTAACACGCTGGAATCTCAAGACATTTGTCTTGACACTGAGCAAAATATTTGCCACTTTGAGATACATCCTAATGAAACCCTTAAAACTGTACTTATATATATTGGGAAAGGTTGTGTTTGTATGAGAACTCATTGTGATTCTATAGTCGTAGATGATACAGTGGTAGATACCAGTAATCTCTCTAATGTTTGTGTTTGCAATTTTACCAAAATTCTAGGATGTGATTTTAAATACTCAGTTCCTGTCACTTCTTATCAACTTATTGCATCTAATTATATTCTGCTTCATGAACTGCTGCTTACTCCTATTGGAATGAACCTCACCTTGGTGAAGAAATTGCTGGTACATGAGGACCTGAAGCAGCTGATGACTCAAGTCCGAGAAAATGGACAAAAGACTCTGATTACTGTCCATCATGATGCACAAGAAATACATTGAGTGATGGAAAGAGTGAAGAGAGATGAGAGACACCGTTGGTGGGACAATTTGTTTGGATGGTTGCCAGCTGCCAAGGGAATCTTCAACAAGATGCTTCACCCTGTTATTGTTCTGCTAATACTCACTGTGTTATGTTTTATACTGACAATTAGTTTGTATGTTAAACTCTGGTTTATGATGAAACGTTTAGCATCCCTACACAATGTACATACACTCGGTAAACCTCAATCTGAGAATGTATGTGATGTCTCTGACATATTCCAACTGTCGTGAAGCTTGAGTGACTATAGTCACGGGGTGGATTATGTGGTGTAAATGCCTGAAGTAACTAGGAAAATAAAACTAACATTCACACTTTTAAGGAAAAGGTACAGCATTGAAGAGGCTTTCAGGGTAGGGCATAACTGCATTATCTGAGCATTCCCTAGGCTCCCAACCTTAGATGCTATCGCGCTGGGGAAACTTGGTGTGCTAGCTCTAAGGAACACCACGGAGCGTAGAGTGGAGTGGAGACACCACGGCTAGGCTCTGTAATCAGGTGGGGCCTCGATTGTTCTTGTGCACAAAGCTGCACTTTTTGCCACCCTAAGCCAAAGACCTGTCATGTTTTGACAAATGCTGTACCCTAGTGTTCTTTTTGCTCATTATAATACCAAAACACACCTCCATCCCAAAAGCTACCCGCCTCCAAGGTGCGACCACCCCTCACTGAGCATGCGCTCTGAATTTCTCGGAGCCTATTACTTTAAACGGAAACGGGAAAACTTTACACCAATCATAACTAAGATATGCTTGACTAGAGCCACTCAAGCTCCACCTAAAAGATAGAAAATAATATAAATTGGCCCAAGAGAGAGGGGATGTTAGGGAAGATACCATCGTCAGGGGAGATGCCATCCCAAGGACATACAACATCCTTAGGACCTCCTGACTCCTGGGATCAGTCGACGGGCTGAGCCTCTCTTCCCCCCCCATTGGGACGCCTTTGGGTGAGATCTGAATATTTGCTTATAAATCTCTATAGAGTCTTTGATCCTTTTAACGCGTTTATTTCTAGGCTGCGCACCTGTAACACCTAGAACCCACACCTAGAACCCACACCTAGAACCCACACCTAGAACCCACACCTAGAACCCACACCTAGAACCCACACCTAGAACCCACACCTAGAACCCACACCTAGAACCCACACCTAGAACCCACACCTAGAACCCACACCTAGAACCCACACCTAGAACCCACACCTAGAACCCACACCTAGAACCCACACCTAGAACCCACACCTAGAACCCACACCTAGAACCCACACCTAGAACCCACACCTAGAACCCACACCTAGAACCCACACCTAGAACCCACACCTAGAACCCACACCTAGAACCCCTGTGTATTTCATGCATACTAGCTTGCTTTTGCAGATAGTCACTATCACCGGCAATCCAAAAGAACCTGATTATCTGTTGCTGTAATAAACCATACTTGATTGCATTGTGATAGCTCTCATTAATGCAACTAGGGTGAGGGTGGTTATCCGTGATAGTTCAGTGTTCTGAATCTAACCAGACCCCCAGACGGTTAATGCATTGTTGGTGAATGTCTGAACGGACCCCCAGGTGGTTAATACGTTTTTGGTGAATGTCCGAACGGACCCCCAGTTTTGGTGAATGTCCGACTGGTTCAGTACTCTGAATCCAACCGGGCCTGTAACGGTTAATCAGCTACACCCCTTTAACGCGACACCAAGCCAGGCTTGGTCCATAACTCTGCTGTTGCTGGCTGCTGGGACTGATCCAGGCTTACGAGGGAAAGAGGAGGTGAAATCTCCGTGCACAGGTTTCTCCCCGCTGCCTGAGCCAGCTCAGGTTGCTGGCATTTCCTGGGGAGGCGATGCTGCCTCCAAGCTCATCTTTCACAGACCGAATTCCTGCAACGCCTACGGCGGGTGTCAGAGATCAAGCACGGCTCGCGCTAACCAGATGGGAAGAGCTGCTGTCGCGTGAGTCTGCTTTGATAGGTAGCAGCAGGTGCTCCCAGCACCAGTTCCCTTTCTATTAAGGACAGGAGAAAGGTTTCATATGCCAGAGCTGATGGCTTAGGATGATAAAAGCGAGTCACCACTACAGGCTGTTTAGGCACCATCAGATCCTAAATCCCCCCAGCGAGATATCGCCTGGCTCGCCTACTGCGTGACCTCTCTTCAAAAGCCAGCCTGAACAAATGGAGCCGGCGGATTTCTTCCCAAAATATTCCCAACCCACACTGTCTGGGGAGCATGGTCCCCCTGCCCTGGGGCGGATCAAAGCAAGCTGCGTGATACCAAGCAGCCCCATCGCTCTCCCGGGGAGGGACTGAACCATGTCCCAGTGACTCACTTTGAGCAGACGGGACTTTGCAAAGCGGCTGCTGGAAGCTTTAATTAACATTCAGCAGGGGGTAGTCAAAGAAACCCAAGGTTAATTATCCCCCAGAGGCTGACGAAGATACGGTGGGGGGCTGCCCTTTGGGTTTCGGTGACAAATGGTTGGTCTGAGATGATTTCAGCATACCACGAGGGATGCTGAGGAGGGCAGGATGCATTAAGTAATGGGGGGGGGGGGGGAAGGAAGGGGACACCAAGACTGGCTGTGCTCCTGATGTTGTAGTTTAACAGGCTTGCTCAACAAAAATAACACCTTTGTTGCTCCAACCGGAGGCTCCTTCCTTTCCACAAAGGGCTTCAGGGTACCCCCACCCTAAATCAGGCCATTAGTCACTGGTTGCAGAACTGACCACCCTAAACGTGGAGCTTGCCCCTCTTTCGGGCAGTGTCCCTTGAGAAAACAAACAGTCCTGCCCTGCACCTTTCCCCCCGTTACGACAGAGGAGGAGGTGAGCAGGTCACGCCACCGATGGGAGCTGCGTGTCCCAACAGTGGCCACATCGAGAATCACAGCCGCAGCAGCTTTTCTGTACAGACACCGATAACCCAGAGGTGACTTCCCTCCCTCCCCCTTCTGCCATATCTTCTTCATTCATTTAGCGATGAGCTGAGCTGATGCAAGATGATCACTCAATTTTGATAGCTTAAGTAGAGGAGAAAATGGTGCGAATGCATTTCCAAGGGGGCCTGTGCTGAAGTAGGTCACTCCCTTGATTGGATCTAGCAAAAAAAAATAATAAAAAAATACAACTTCTCTGAAGCTGAAACGTTAGAGGGATTCAGTCATCAGAGAAGCAGCTAATGGGGAACTGCTTGAATTAGATGGCTAGTGCCCTTTCTGCCCAGACTACACAGGAACAATAGGTGTAGGACTGAAATGTGTAATCAGGCAGCTTTATCAAGACATAGAAAAAAAAAAAAAACAAAAAACAGGCTGCACAGAAGTGGCTGACCACAGTCAGAAGTCAACCAGAAGAGGATGAAGCAGCAGTGAAACAGCCATCCTCCACCAGCCATACAGCAATCCCTGGGTGGTACCAGGTATTAGGGCAGGCAGGATGGGACCAAGAACCCCAGCAGAAAGCAGATCCCCACAGACACACAACTGTGTGAAACTAAAAACTGCAGAATGGGCAATGGGAATACCTGAGGGTGATCCTCTCCGGGTGGAAAATAGATACAGAGGAGCAGCAGCATGGGCACAGAATCAGAAATAACTCAGACAAACCTCACAGCAGACCTTCAGTGGGATATCACCTCAAATATGCTCCCCCTTTGCTTTCTCAGTAGCCATACCTGCAGAGGAGGGTGGGTTTTCACACCACACTGCATCGCAAAGCTCCCAGCTTCAGCCACTGCCATGTCCCACATTACTGGCACTGACCACAAGGAGGAAGGGGAATAAATAAGGACAGCTGAGTTAAGAGACTTTATCAGCACAGGTTTGCTAGCAGCTGAAAATTGTTAGCAAATTGAGGGAGAAAATGAAAGGCAATGGGACAGCAGCTATCTGCAGCTTTAAAGGAAGTGAGCCAATGCCTCGTTATCAGAGCAGCAGATCCATATGTGTAATCTAATCCCAGATCATTACTCCCTTGTTTTTTGTCTGGGTTTACGTGCAAGCACAGAGCAAGCAATCACCAGTTCTGGGTGAGCAGCTGAAAGAAACATCAGAGGGCTGTGGAGAAACAGCAGTGAGGAGAAGTGGTTCTGCTGCAATGGCTGTGAGCTGCCAGGCCACGCATGGCCTGAACACAAGGAAGGCCACTTGGGCATCCAAGGTGGGAGTCGTGGTGGTCCCCAGAGGAACCCAGTGCACAGATACATCATTAAAGGACTCTGGGGGCAGCAGGTGGAGGAAAGGGGCTGGGGAAGGCGGCTCTGGTTTGCTTGGGGTGCTTGAAGCCCGGCTCTGTCCGTGACGGGAGCTGGTGAGGAATCTCCCCATCCGTGCCTTGGCCCTCGAGCCCCTCAGAGCTGTTTTCAGCAGAAAATATGTGGGTGAACGGAGGCTGTCGAAGCCTCTCCTGCCTCTGAGGATGGGCTGAGGCTTTCAGGAGAAGGCAGAGCAACACCCAGGCAGATACGGATGGTGCAGGAGGTGCCAAGCAAGGTCCCACCACATCCTCCTTGACATCTGTGAGGAGAGGTGGGCCTGGCCCAGCAGCCCAGCCAGCCTCCCCATTCCAGGCCATGAGATGCGTTTGCCAGGGATTAAATCAAACCATCAGGTCTTTTCTCCACCCTTGGCAAGCCGAAGCCACGGCCAGAGCCAGCTGACTGAGTATTTCATGTTCATGGCCTGAAATCTGAATTCAGTTCATATCAAAAGCACTGCAACTGCTGGCCTGTGGTGCAAGTCCAAGGCCAGGTGGTTTGGGACAGTCAGGACTGATAAAGGCCTCCTGGTAGCAGAGGTCTGGCAATGTGAACATATCTCATTTGGACATTTTCTCCCCTGATCTCTTTAATTCTGCTCTCTCACACTGGGCAAGGCAAAGCCCATTTTATGCACCCATCAACCTTGCACAACTGCCTTAACGGGCCTTGGCTGAACACAAGGATCTTTTCTCCATTCAGAAAACAGCCAGAAAAACATCTTTGGACTGAAAGAAATCTTGCAACCAAATCTTTTCCCATGTTAAAGTTTCTTAAACAGTAATTAGGAGGCCAGAATGGACACGCTGCTGGAAGGGAAATTACTCCCTAGGCTTTGCTTTTCTCTCTGGCAGCCACCAGTCGCAGCAGGATCGTTTCCAGCAACTTTCCTCCCAAGAGGGCAGGATGGAAACACAAGCTGAAGGAGGATCTGCTGGAGATCAAATCAGAGACTCGAGACCCAGAGGACGGCTGGCTCTAGCTGCAGACACATGCTGTGAGAAACTATTGTTTGTACAGTGAAAAACCTCTAAATTAATCTCACCCACCAAAGCTGCTTTGAGATGAAGAGACAGCAGTAGATGAAATGCACTCAATAGCACTGGAATAGTAACAGCTTTAATTGCAGTATTTTTTTTTTTTCCAAAAACATTTTCCTTTAAAAAGAAAAGAACATAAATGGTAAGTACAATAACCAGTTACTGCACAAACTGTGGCAACGCAGAGCCCAGACACAGGTTTCAGAGACGGGCTTGATGAATAGTGGGCAGAAGGCATCCGAAGGACGCACGCCCAGTCCCAGCACGTGAGGAGAGACTGGATTTCTGACCGAGGACAAGGACAAATTAATGCAGTGGTTACCCCACGGACCCCAAAATGTGCTGGCCATACTCCCGCGTTCCTCAGGGAGGGTGTGCACAGCCGAGGGGCTGAGCATGGCAAGTTTCAGGCTGCCACTGTGAAATGTTGAGCTGGGTATAGAGTACCTGAGGTAGTTAGAAAAACCAAGGGCGGGGAGGGGAAGTGCTGAAATTATTTGGGGATGTCCCCATCTTGTCAGAGTCACGGGAGGGTAAAACTTCTGCCCAGGAGGGTAGGGGCTGCCCTCACCTGCTGCAAACAACCTGGCCCAGCTCAGCCATTGGGGAGCTCTGTGCAGCCCACGCTGTTTTTGAGCAACAAAAGGCAAAATCTGGGCAAAGCAGGTGAGGAAGCCATCCCTCTGCCTGCTGTCTGTCAGCAGATCTGCCTGCTGACACAGGGTTGGGTCTCTTGCAGGAGCTTTTCCTTATTGCATTGGAGGTTTTTGCTTGGTGTAAGGAAAACGTGCTCTTACAGTACCCTGCTGTCGTAGAGAGAAAGCAAACGCATCGCGGGCTCGGCTGCTGGCAGACCCTGTTTCTGTGCTATTTTATGTTGCATAGGAAACTCCTTAAAGCCCCTGAGGAGAAACTAAGGTGCTATTTACTTCTTGCGGGGTCTGGTGAGGGTGACTGCTTCTGGGGACACGGTTTTGGGAAGAGGCAATGAGAGCTGTGAGGCTGTGCTGTGGGAGGACCATTCCCTCTGGAGGCTGCTGTGCCAGCACCGCTGGCCACCAAATGCCCACACACTGCCTGGAACATACCACCCACACCGTGCTGTGCAGCATGAGCTGGCCAAATCACCCCACACATGTCTCTTGTTGGGGAGTTAGTGTCACCTGCAGCTTCCTAGGAGCTTCGTGGTGGAGAAATGAAGTCTAGAGCCACGAGCCTGCCTGGCAGCAAGGCCATGCAGCCCTTCTTGTGTGCTGCTACCAGCCTTTTAAAAGGTACTTTCCCCACACTGTTTTGTTTTGTTTTTTTTTTTAACTTTTTCTGGTTCAACCTGAAAGAAAACAATCCTTAACAACTAACCTTTCGGTGGTAGCAGCATTCCGCTATAAAGAGACTTTGCACTTAAAATAAAGTGATTTTTCTGTGCAAAAATATTTCCCTCCTATGTAAAATATTTCAAGGCTTGGGGGCAGAAGGAAGAGGGGAGGTCATTCAAAAGTCAGCTATAAAACACCAGGGGAAAGTATGGGCACTTGGTACCACAAATATTTAGCTCAATGATGGCACCAGCTTTATAGCAAAGGATATTTACAAGTTCATCTGGAACTCAGCAGCCTTGAACAGCCCCATTCAAAGCCCTGTGAAATCAATGGCAACGAGCATTAAGTCACATAACACATCTGGAACATCTCTGTTGAGCTCGAGAGTAGATTTCAAATAGGAGAAACATTTTCTCTTTTCTTTTCTTCCTTTTTTTTTTTTTTCTTGGTAAGGTGATAATATATAGATTGCAACGATTCCCTCCCCTTTTCTGGCCTCCTCCCCAGAGTACAAGCTTCTGGAGAGGAGCACCCAAGTAATTTGCTGCAATGGCAGGGCAAACCACTCTCAGCACCCTCCCACCTATCTCACCAGGCAGCAAGGAGCTTCTGAACTCCAAGCTTCCAGCTTCTTCCAGACACGTCCTGCAGCACCCAGGTGGGATGAAACATTGGCCAAGCACCGGGGCAGTGTCACTTCTCATGGTAAAAACAGTACCCACGCATCTGAACACAGGCAATGCGCATCTCCCTGTCCACAGATGATAAAATGCATGTTTGCAGGTAGGCTACAAAAATAATAATAATAAAAAAAAATAAACCAGAGAGGTCATATGGCCTGTGAACATAGGGGGGAAAAAAAAAAAAAAAAAAAAAGCTCCTTTCTGGTGTAAGATGCTTGCTGGGCTGAGGACATCCCAAGTTCATATGGTGCTCTACAAACAGTCGTGTCTGGGAGTTTGCCAAAACCTGACCACGGCAGTGGCACAGGGCATTCACTGTGCTTCGTCTTAAATACATATTTACATGAGTCACGTTCATCTCAAAAATGATAATTTAAAAGCAGTTTCTACAACATAAAAAACAGCAACAGCTTCCCTCCAAAGTGGTTACAACCTTTACTGCTCATTAAAAAAATTAGATTTTTATTTGTAAATGCTTAAAAAATGTGTTTTCTTTTGTGATCCCTCCCACTCCCCTCCCCACCCCTTGCCCCTTTTAAACTTCGTAGTAAGAAATAGTTTAACCAATATCAATTCTGTATGAAAAGCCATCCCTTCTGGATGCATTCCCATCAGGAGGAGGGTCGTCTCCTGCTGATTTCCAGTCCTGCTGAGAACTTGCAAACTTTGGCCTCTTGAAACCTGGGGAGAGCAATCTCCACGTGTTTTTAAAATCAACCGCTATAAAAAAGGGACAAAACACAGAGAAATATGGACACCGACATCAAATGAGACGTGGACAAAAGTATCGCTGCAGGGAGCTGCGCTAGATGGCAAAATCCTCGTGGTCCTGTGGGCTGAAGGCAGCTGCCCGGAGGATGTCCAAGGAGTTGACGAGGATCAGGGTGCCGGTGAGATGCTTCCAGCGCTTGGTGATGGGGTTCTTCATCTTGTCCAGCCCCGTGTGCAGCTCCTGAATCACGTCACGGTAGCTGTCGCCCATCTGGCCGCTCCAGGTGAGGAGGAAGTCGTACGCGGGCTTCCACATGGCCTGCGGGGCAGAGGGTAGGAGAAAGCAGAGCTGAATGTGAAATCCAAGCCTTTACCAGTCTGCCTCGGTGGCTGCCTTCCTCATGTCTGCGTTTCAACATCCAGCACACAAGTGGTGCCATCCCCAGCATGCCCTGATCGCAGAACTAACATGTTCAGGGTGAAAACACCCCCAGTTTTCCCCCAGATCCTTCTCATTCCCCAAAGGCACACCAGAAAAACATGCAGGGGGTATAGTGACTGCAGGCAAAAACATGCTTGGGAAAGGCACAAGACCCTCAGAGACCGAGGCCTGTCCGCTCTCACCTCGCTGTCCACCACCCCGGTCTTGTCCCGGTGTGGGGCCTCATAGGCATCCATCTGCTGCTTGGAGACCTTGGCGAGCTTCTCGGCGAGCTCCCTCCAGCGCTGGGCCACCTCCACGGCTGTGGTCAGCAGCACGAAGTCCTGGATCAGCCTGACAACCAGCCCCTGGCAGTCCATCTTCAGCAAGGCCTGCAGGACCACCATGAGCAAACAGGGAGACAGAGTCAGGGTGGGCCTGGAGAACCGCATGGGGAAGTCCCTCAAGAAGCCACCCCCAAATCCTCCCACCTCCTTTCTGGCTACAGCTGGTGAAATTAGGCCAACAGGCTCAACATTATGTTCAATGAGGCCTGTAGCTGGAGTTGGCCACCATCTCCTCAGCTTCATGTTTTGGGCCATTGCTCAAGATCCTCAGGCACCACGTAAGGACGTTAAAGCAACTCAGGGCTGAGAAAAACAGAGGCCTTTAGCCAAGATAGTTAATCCAGTGTGCTCCATGCTGCTTCCACCCAGAGGAGCAGTGCTCCTTGGTGCAGACAGCACAAGTACCCGAAGACTGCCCGGAGCATGGTGGCCATGGGCCAGCCACAACATTTTGGGGCAAGACCTGGAGATTTGCCTCAGGAGAGGGGCTATGGTGAAACCCAGAGAAAAGGCAAGGCCAGAGCACTGCAGGACCTGACCACAAAGGTTGCGTTGCTTGGGACGTGCTTACTGTCTTCATGTGTCAGGTCAGAAACCACCTCCCTTCCTCATCAGATACTAGCCTACAAGTTGAGATTTTCTGCAGTTGGCTTTGAAGAGGCGGGGAGGCGAAACTGCTTTAGTTAGGGGCACCCACACCAGTAAGCTTTCTAGTTACCAATAGCTTAGCCAGAAAGAAATGGACAGAGCAGGTCCAACTCCTATCTGCAGGTAACAAAATCCCATCACTATCTGTTCAAAACACAAAGCAAGTTGCAACAGTGAAAAACCATGATGCAGCTGAGGAAAGGAAGGATTTAAATGGTGATTATCAGAGGACCAACAGATTCAGCATCCCCCGATGTGTGCCACAGCCAAATGTGGTGGAAGGGATGACAGCAGCCTCAGGAGTAACCTGTGTCCCTAAATAAATCCTCCTTTCAACCTTTAGTGTCCATGGAAATGTGTTTAACATTATGCAACAAGCATCCTTTTTAAAAAATAAACAAGCAAGCAAACAAACAAAAAGAACATCAAAACAATGCAAACAAACCCCAGACAATGCCTTGGGGGACAGCTTACCACCCAGAAAGGTTTAATCATCCCTCTCCCTCCATGCTGCCCGCCCCAGCACAGACGGCAGCAGTGCCTTTGCAGGTTCATCACGCGCTACAAATAGGAGACATGTTTTCTAGCTGCTGCCTTTCCCTTTTGTTGAGTACCCTCTTTTTTCTCTGTTTTTGAGAGCTGGAGCTGCAGCGCCAGCAGAATCAGCGTGGCAGTGCCAGGACGGCTGAAGACCAAGGGCACTGCTCAGCGTTTCAGCAGGGGATCTCACTAAGGATGCAAACCACAGCTTGGGGATAAAGAGGACAACCCCCCACAAATGATGTAGAACACCAGTAGGGCACACCTGCTCAAGTGTTCCCACTGGAAACATCACCAACACCTCCGCAGCAGCACAGAGAGGTTATTAGAGAAGTCATGGATCTCAGAGGCCCAAGCAGGGCCTTCAAGCAAGCCCCAGCTGCTTTAGCTCTGAAGAAGAGGGGTTAAATCCTCACATGTGTGGGTTTTCACAGGGACAGTAACAAACAGCTGGGGGAAGATGGTAACATCTGAAACCACTCCAGCAATTTGCAAAGCAAATATATGTTGATTCCCTTATCTGTTTCCAGCTTACACAAAGCAAAGCTGGGCTTGAATCTAATTACCGCTGTGGACCAGCATTTGCTTCTCCAGCAAAGTGCTTACACGTTTCCTCTCCACGAAGTGCTAAGAGAAGTAATAAGCCCTCTTGCTAAGTAAGTAAAATACATTATAAAAGAGCTTCTTTTTTTTTTTTTTAATGGGCACAAGCATTTAGATCTCTCATCTCTGCTGCACTTGTAAGCACCTCTGCAGATTGCTCTAGGTCCAGCTCCCCAGCAGTGTTATTGTATCATGCAGCCAACAGATTCACGCCCCTTTCCGCTTGAAGAAGAGGATTCAGATGGTCCTAAAGAGGCACAGATTTAGGATTACGCTCTGGGGTCTTCTCTCAGAGACTGCCCTATCAGCAGGTATGAACCATTAGAAATCAGATGAGACAGGCACTTTGTCCTCTGCGCTCCTCTGGTCACCTGTGGTGGAGTTTGCCGCTGCAGTTCTGCTGTAGTCAGCTGGCCCTGGCCTGGGGGAGATGCATCCTGCTGATATTTCTCAGCCATAACGTCCTTGGCAGAAACACACTGCTTCCCCATGGACATGGGAAAAGAGAGTAATGGCAAGGGGAGAAAAAGGCAGAAGACGTGTTTTTTTTCTCACTCATCTTCCCCAGGAACAGAGAGGGTATTCCCAAGGTTACCACAGAGCTGGCACCAAGGTGGTGAATCCTCCCTGAAGATGTCTTTGAAGCCTGCAGACCCCTGCAAGCTATCACCCCGCTTCTGAAGCTGGGCTGGGCACAGAAACCGGCCAGACCCATCAAAATTTGTGTTTACAGGCTGCCCGATCACCAGCGTCCAAAACAACAAGGTTTCTTGAAATGATGGGAGGAGAGGAGTGACGTGCTAGGAAACGGTACACTTGAAGCCACAGCTTTGAAAGAGGCAAAGTTACTCTCCTCAGCTCAGCACATTAACTCGGAAACCTACTGATAACCACAGAAACGCCTTCTCCCTTCGCTGTGCCTCTGGAATTTCAGCTGGGAGGCTCGACCTGTAAATCACGAGCACTGGGTGAGCTGGGGAAAACACAGGGCAAGGAGGAGAGGTGAGGGCAGATGGAGGGCTGCAGCCAGACAAACATATTTATGACAGGCAGGCACGGGGCTCTGCTGCAAGCCCTCGCTGCCCAGCCGGGATTAGCAGGGTTTACAGCAGACTTAATCCTCCAGCAGGCGCTTTTGGGATTATGCTACCGCTTCTTTCCATCCTCCTCCTCTCTCAGCCTGAACAGACCTCCCTGGACAGCTGGAGGGACACAGCTGGCTGCTGTCTCTCCGTCCCGGTCTCCTCGGTACCCGGCGATGCTCCCTGCTGAGGCCTGACCTGGGCTGTGCTATTTTTTTCCACTGCTTTAAAGCTGCGCGGTGTCAGCGCTCGCCAAGGAGTTTATTAACCTCGGAGAGGCCCCGAGCCTGCTCCACCAGCCGAGCGCGCGGCGTAGCAAAGGAGATGGTTTGATATTCAAATTCCAGTTCAAAGCAGAGGAGCCTATGCTTAAAACGCATCCAGGGGAGGCTGAATTTGCATCCCGGCTCTGAAATGCAGAATCCCATTTCCAATCCTCTAATCACGGCAAGCAGCATCTAAGCAAACAGGCAGCAGGGAGCCCCGAGGGGGTTTCAGCACAAAAGCTGAGGAAGGAGCTACGGAGTGGTGGCTCTCCTTGGCTGAAAATATGAGTGTGTTTCCTGCGTGCCCCTTTCTGCTCCCCCAAATTCACTTATTCTTATGGAGGAAAAAAGAAAAAAAAAATAAAACCAGCCCTGAAGCATGCAGATGCATTGGGGACACCCATCACCTCACAGTCCCTTCTGCACCTCACCCTGTGAGCTCCCAGCCCTGCTCTCACCCATAAACTCTCAGCCCCCAGCACACGGCTCCAGAGGAGCCATGGGGACTTTGGGTGCATTATTTGCTTCCCCCTCTTCGGCCAAACTGAAGGTAAAAACCTTTCTCCTTTGCCCCCGAAGTGGGAAGTATCACCGAGTTCACTCGTGCCTGCCAAGTGCAGTGCAAGCCCCAGAAGGAAGCGGTGATGGAAATGGAGTTTTTAAATTAGTTAATGATTTTTTAAACAGCATTTAAATTAGAAAGCACCCTGGAGGGTCCAAGTGTTATCACGCATTAATCACTGCCTGAAACGGCTGGAAGGTATCTGGCAGGGGAAGCGTAGATGTGGTTACAGCAAGCAGTAATGTTTAGTGTCCCATTAACCACCGCGGGAACGTGCAACGGGGGATGCCTGGGGAGGGGGCACCAACAGTGGGGCCACACCGCATAGCCCCAGGCCAGGTCGGATTTTTGGCCGGAGGGAGCCAACTGTGCACTGGTGCCCCTCTAAATAAGCCTGGCTTCAGGCATTGAACATCCCTTACATTTAGTTGCACCACGGGTGCAACTGCAGGAGACTTTTTTTGCAGGAGCAAAATTGCACAGGAGCAAGAACGGAGACAGCAGTGAGCGGGCACAGGGCTCTGAAACTCTGAGGACCAGGAAGGCACTAACAACCCCCTGCCAACCCCAGCAAATAAAAGCAGGTTGTCTTGGTCTGTCTGGAGAGCGAGGAACCTGCAGGAAGGTCACAGCCAGCACCTGTGCCTCTTCTCTCCTGTAACCTTGCTCTTGGTGAAAGCATTTTCCCTACCAGCTATGTTTGAGGGAACACTTTTCTTTTGTTCTGCAAGCATCACCTGGGCCAGATGCTGAACCAAAAAAGAAGTAATTAGAGCATCTTTTCTTTTTTTTTATTGTCTGATGGAGGAAGGTAACTCTCTGGGGAAGGAGGAGCAGAGCACTGCAGCTGGGAGGCATGGGTAGTGTTTCTGCAGCTTTTTATTACTTGTTAGGGGTGCAGGGCAATATTTATAACTTCTGTGTATGAAAAGCAGCTTTTGATGGGGTCTTGCAAGCTGTCCCTCCCCCTGTGCTGATTCTGTAGGAGAAGCCATGTCCTACAGAAATATCTCCACCAATGTCACTATGGCATCAGGTAAGTTCCTCTGAAGGCAGAAGAAAGGTAGGAAAGAAAAAGAAAAAAAAGAGAAAGGCAAGAAGGTGTTTTTGCCTCAAACCCACATGCTTGCAAGGACTACCAGCAGCCAGCAGATTGCTGCAGGACACAGCTGCGGTCACAGCAAATGCAGAGAACAAAATGGGGGGGAAACATCTTTGTCCTGTGTTAACGTTAGAAGCAGTCTGGAGAAGAAAAAGCTCACAGGTTCTGCAGCTCTCCGTGAACATGCCTACTGGCATTTTTAGCAGACCAGTGCTTTTCCTCAAAAGAAGCATTTGTTGGGAAGGGTGGTAAAAGTGACAGTGTATCAAAAACCCAGAGAGAGGGAAATGCTGCATCTCCCCACAGGTTTATCTCCAGCTCCAAGGAGCAGGCAGAGCACTCACTGCATGGCAAGTCAGGTCAAGTTTCTCAAATGAAACCTGGCATGGCTCTCTGCGGCAGCCTGAGTGCATTTGATCACACTGTGGTATGTGACTTAACGTTTTCAAAACCACGCAAAGCCTTTTCCTGAAACCTGTGAATCTTCTGGGACTCCAAAGGGTTGGAAACGCAATGGAGTTAGCACCTGCCTGCTGGGCTGCTGCCACTGACCACAGGGATGCTTCTGGTGTGTGTGGGAAGCACATCACCATAAAGCTTTTCCGTGGAGAGGGGAGGGAACGCAGGTCTCTTCTCATCAGTAGCAGCCAGGTCTGGCAGCACAGGTGACTTGCTTGTCTCAAGGCCCAGAGACGTTTTTGGAGACAGAACCTGCTCCCTGCTGGGGCATGGCTTGGAAACAAGGCTTACCGAGGAGTACAACGAGCACCTGAAACTGGAGCACAGCCCAAGCATCCCTGCTGCTCCAGGCAGGGAATGCTGTCTGTAGTGGGTGGTGAAGAGCACACCACAACCCTGATCCCACTGAGCACCCAGCCTGGCCCTGCACAGCCTTTCTGAGCAGCAGCAGGCACAAGCTCGGAGAATTTTGCAGATTTTGGGCTTTGATTCCTACAGGCTTTGTTAGTGAGATGATCTGAGGGCTGTCTGGTTTTGATGGGCAGCGAGGGAGGAAGGGAGAGGTAGGTTTCTCCTTCCGATGTGATGACTAACTTCTGAGCAATTCACTTACCCTCACTTACCTTCACACACTGCTGCTTCTGCTAGATTAAAAAAATAAATGCAGATTATTTATTAACTAGTCCTCATGACAGGGCTTTTCCATGCTTGGCTACTGGCGTATGGCTTTGCCAGGGCGATTTTGTGTACTCAACACTGAAGCCAGATAAGGGTGCTTACCACTTCTCTCTTCACAGTCCCTTTGAGATGAGACAATCAACTCTAACATGAAATGCCCCGATCAGTTTTTAATCCAGCCAGTTCTTGCCAGCAGACGCCAGAAAGCAAGTCCATTTGTTGCAAATAGAATGAGATTGAAACGCAGCAAAACACATTACTGCTCAGTTGTCATCCCCTGAAACATCTATTTCATTTCTTTTGTTTTTAAATCATGCTCACTGTTATTTCTTTGCAAGCTAAGGAAGTCTGACAGCAGCAAGGGGCTTAGAGGAAGCACAGCCTTGCTTCAGGAACAGGGCTCAGCCTTTACCAACAGGCTCAGGCTCACAAAGATCTTGCACGGAATAGGAAACGGAGCCAATGTTCAGGATTAATCTCCATTCAGCCAAGGAAAATAAAACCTGCTCTGGGACTCTGCATGAGATGCATCCCTTTGGGAGCGGTATGTTTGCTGGCAGCTTATGGCCCTCCCCTTGAGTTAGTTGCTCTGTGAGCACCCAGAGAACCTTGTATTTTTTTCTTCATCTCCCCAATTAGGCCTTTTCCATGACCTGCAGACTGTCTGTGACCCTTGGAGACAAAGGGAAAAGATAAAAGAAATGCTGACATGTTTGCCAGCCAGTAAAGCAAACAGCACAAAGCCCGAGGAAGTACTCAGCAAGAGGAGCACACATTTCACCCCATCAGCCACGGAGGTGAACGATGAAAGGTGCAAAGCCTCCTTTGGAGGAACCCCGGGGCCAGGCAGCAGCCTCGGCTGGCACCTCCACCCACCCAGGCTGACCTCCAGCCTGTCAGCCTTCAACTTGCCAGGCTCCTCTGGGGAGGGCAACGCGGCTTTTTAATACCCTCGCCCAAAATGAACGAGTGCAAAGAGAGCTCCAGCGATCAGTCTAATTGCCCTGTAACAGGCATGAGTCACAGACTTTTGGAAACGATCTTCCCATTTTCCACAATGACACCAACACTCAGACAGAGCTTCTTATAAAGAGTTATTAATTGCGCTGCGCTCTTAGGCAGAGGAAGTACATCCACAACTCATCCGCCCTGCGCTCCCCAGAAAAAATTTCCATGAGTAATGAAGGGCTCCATGCTTGTCATGATGCCTTACACCTAATGCTCGATCCTCACATTTCCCCATTCTTATTAAAGGGATGTTGGGATACGAAAGACTTCATTTAGCTGCAGCCCTTTTACCCAGGTTGCCTGCTCATAATTTCATTTTGCATGCTGCATGTTCCTGCCCTACTGCCTGTCCACATCATTGCCGAGCAAAGCTTTTGCTATTTATTCCTTAATTAAATTGGCATTTTAAAACACATGATTCACTGTAACTCAGTTATCTACTTCTCCAAGACAGACTGTTGAGACGTGAGAGCTGAAATCTCTTCTAGACACAAAGTCCTGCATTTTCTTTGGCCCACTTCCTACAGAACGCTAGAAGCTGTTATCACGAAGACGATTTCTCACAAGAGACTTTCTAACAGCATCCTAGAAATACTTGCAGATGGCACTTCCCCAAACTCCTGCAGAAGCTGTCAGGACAGAAGCAAGCCAGGCATTTTGGACGATTTGCAAACACAGCCGCACATAAAGCACCCCAATGCAGAAGTGCCCTTGGATTAGCTGTTACTCAAGGAGAGGAGAAGCAGACATAGCCAGACACTGTTATAGAGTAATTTTAGGTTGTTTCATAAACATAAAGTCGCAGCACCCATTCTCAGAGCAGCCATAAAACCCCTCTCTGGCATGCTTTGATGAATTTGATTCAATATAAACACACACAGCCTGAGAGGTGGTTTGCCTACCACGCACCATACAGGAAAACTGTTTGTTTCTTGCCTTTTTCCAGTTTTCCACACCCTCATCAGTGTTGCCACGAAAGCCAGGAGCTCATGCATGATCATCACTTTGCCAGCAGCTCTCGGGTAACTCCTTGAGAGGCACATCTTTTAGCCATCACCAAAGGCTACGCAGATACCCAGCAGCAAGGCCCAGCACCATGAAAGCACTGGATCAAAATCACCTTGATTTTGAGGGCCTTCAGATTACCCAGGTCCCAAAGCAAGCCTGTTTGCTTCCCTCACACTGTACGTACATGCAGTTTCTCACCCAGTGCTTCCCTCATGTACAGCCACGATCCCATTAGCCTGTCAATGCACGTTACCACATGCCTGAATTCCCATCCGGCTACGCCGAGCAGCCTGCGGAGGGCCTTTAAAATGCACTTCATTCTTCACAGACTGAATTAGGAAACCTGAGCTCCCACTCACCCTAACCACTCGGACTGCGCCTCGGAGAATTAAGACGCCCTTGGCAACCCTTGGACTCACCGTCATCAGCTCCTTCTGGAAAGATTTCCTGTCCTTGTTCTCTGTGTTGTTGCAGTCTTCCTTCAGCTTCTCCAGCACGGAGGCCACACGCTCTGGCTCGCTGTCCAGCTCTGCTCGGCAGAAAAACGTGAGCGGCAAGTTCAAATACCCCAGTGCATCAGCGAAAGACCGCCAGCTGTTGAGGTTCTCCATGAGCAGAGTCCTCACAGAGGCGTAGATGTAGGTCAGGAATTTGCAGGGCCTCAGGATTTGCTCGAGCAACAGGCTGGTGGTGAGATCAGGCCCAGAGAAGTAGCTGGGTTTGACCTTTCCAACCACCAGCACAGTTTTTGGTGTGCACAAGGCCTATCTTGCCCTGGTAGTAGCCAATATACCACTCTTTTGTCCACAGCTGCCCCTTCAACCTGATCTTCTCCTCACTGAGGAGGCCTATGACATCTCCTTTCTTGTACTCCAGCAAATAGTGGTTCTTGCTTTGCCGCACCACGGTTTTCAGCAGTTTGCCATACTTCAAGCTCAGCACTGGCCGGTCCTGAAAAACTGGATACTTGGCAGTGGCAGCCAGAGGTGAAAGGATGATCTTTCCAACCTCATTCTTCTTAAGGAACCGCCTCTGCCCTGTCGGTTTGATGGCACTTTTAGGAGGTGGCTGTGGTGTCTGGACGCAGAACTGCGTCAAAATGGCATCCTTGTCGTCCTTGACCTGTATCCTTAGTGTGAAGTCTGAGAGCTCATTGGGGTCGTGGGAGGTGATGGGGAAGATGAGGCGGCTGACCTTGCCCAGCTTCATCTGGAAGCCTCGCACAATTTTGGCTTGCTCGCTAGCTTTCACCTCGTAGTTGGTCATGTTGGAGAACATGCAGAGCTTGAGGTCCTGAGGCCGGGACAGAGCAAACTGGTGCTTACCCCAGAGCTGCAGGGCAACCGGAGCTGGGCTGTGAGACTGCCTCGTGACCTCGTTCACTAGGAGAGTCTTGGGTGCACATTCATGCCCAAACACGGCCACAACTGTTTTAAAGGAAGGGTGAATATGTTTTGGGCCATAGACACCAACCGTGATCTTCTTGCTGATGTAATCCCAAACAGTGTAAGGGTAGACGATGTTCTGCCCTTGAGCTACAGGCCGCGATGTACATGCAAGGCTCTAGGTTCTCCAGCTGCACCTGTATCGTGTCCCCATATGCATAGCTCAGCTGCATGGGTGTGTATGGTCCCTCTTTCATGTCGCTCCGTAGGCACTGCAGTCCTACCAGACTCTTGCTCATGATGTCGTTCTTGACCTCTGCTGACACCTTCATCTCCAGAATAATAAATGTTTTCACCTCCATGTTGCTGAGTTTGATCTGCAGGACGGGGCTGATGGTGCTGCACTTGTCACTGTTCAGCTCCAGTGGTGGGTCTAGCATAGCTTTCATGGAGATCTGTTGCGTTTCCCCAGGGCACACATGACCCTCTGGCACATGGATGCTGATGTTGGTGTCTGGAAGCTGAACAGCTCCACCAGAGCTATCCAGTTTGCAGACAATATTGGTCTCCACTGGTTGTGTCTGACCCCAGCCAGGATTTTGGCCAAGCAAATCCAAGTCGTGGCAAGACCGGGCCAGCTTCCTGTGGTTCAACCACGCGGTTCTAAAATCTTCCCGGCTCTGGAATTGCTCAGGGAGTGGGAGACTTCAAACCGTTGAAGAAACCTGACGATGCTGGAGTATCCGACTTCGCTTGAAGAACAGACAGTTCAGACAAACTGTAAGAGCGTTTACTTCTGAAGAAGGGATTGTCCCTTTTCACTGGGCTGTTCCAGGTCCAGCCTGTTTGCGGATGGAAATTCATCAAAAATATTACCCATGCTGCTATTAGCGACCGAGCTAGAAACTGTTGAAGTAGGAGGCCCTGTGTCAAAGAGCAACAAGTCAACAGACATTTTAGAGTTGGGCTCTCTGTCTGAGCTGGTCAATGTTTGTAAATTCCCATTCAGAAACGGGTTTGTCTGGACTCCGTTCAAGAAAGGGTTGTTGTTGTTGGTTTTCAGAGAGTTTCTTTTCACGTCAGTCCATTCTCCAAGCAGGTCTAACTCCTTGACCCCCTCATCAGGGCTCTCCAGTAGATTGTCTATCATCCCGCTGTCCGTCAAGGAAGAGTTGCGGTAGTTTACGGGCTGGACGTAGGAAGAAGGGATGTAACCCATTTCTGTAGTATTGTGAGCGTACCACCACTCACCTCCTGATGTGTCTAAGACGTAAAGATGGTCCCCCTTGGAGAACTTCAAAGTGGTAAAGTTAGTCGGACAGTAATCTTTGATTGCTATTACTTCCTTCGCATTTCCAAAGGATGTGGGATTGTCAACCAGCAAGGCACTAGGAGAAGGCACTGCAAAACAAAGAAAAACAAAGCTGTAAGCAATCCACAGGAGTCACAAGGTACTTAAAATAATTTCTTTCAGGTAAGCAATCTGCACTACTTTATGCAGTAAAGCCAAGGTAGTTTTATAGCATCTCAAACTTATGTTTGGTGTTGTTTTTTTTTTCCTCTAAAATTTTTAAACAAGACTTTTCCCTTTACTATTTCTGATAAATTCATGCTGCAGAAAAGAATGCCTTCCCCAGAGTAATGGGCATCAACACCGCTGGAAAGAGCAGGAGGAGTTGAGACAGGAAAAGCAGCAATTTGTTACCCTCCTGTGGAAGCAAGGCCTGGGCAGAGAAAGCAGGTCTCCCGGTGCAGTCAACGTGTCTTAGCAACAAGCCTCCCCCTTGATTCAGGACCTCATTCAGTTGCTTCTAGAAGAGACAGCCTCTAACTTCACGGATGAATGATGCACAAAAAGGTGTGCTGGAGGGAGTTTCAAGGGAGTCAGAGCCCCTTCTTATCAGCTATATCTTTTGCCTGAGCACGTTCAGGTCTAAGCTCCCGAGGGTGCATGCTACAATAGCAGGCACCCCCCTAAATTTTCACATTTAAAATGACACAAGTTAATTTCAAAAGGAGTTCTCAATGATGTGCTGCATGGGAAGAATTTACATGATCCTTCACAGCCACTATTCTACAAATTCGGTCAGCGGTATCCCAATGTCTTTAGCCACCAGCTCTGTGGCACTGCCATTTTTAATTCTCCATGCAAATAGTTAACAGCGCTGCTGAAGGCGAATGCCTCTTCTACAAACAGATTACATGGTAACTCAGGGTAATGTTCACAGGCTAGAAATGTTCTCACTCTTCCACAACTCCTCTGCTGCATGTGTGAAATATCTTACGTTTCAGGGTAAGAAGCAACCAGGAGTACCCACTAAGAGCACCTCACAGTCCTCCTTTTTCATGTCACACCACCCAAAAAATCAGCACCTCATTCCTCATGCATAGCATTTATATTTCAAAGCTCCTCAGCAAAACAACTCCTTTTCCAAACAAAGTCATGTTATTCGAACCAGCAGAAACAAACACAGTATTGACCTCCCACGGCACTGGCACTGACCAAGCAGCATCTCCAATCTCCCTTTCAGCAATGTTGAGCAGCAGGTCCGGCTGCAAGTTGTTTTGCTAGTATTATCTGATCCCAATTGCAAACAAAACAGTTCAATTAACACTACGCATGTTCACACTGTCACTGTATTTATTGGTTTTGCTCTCACATTTAGGACATACTTCTGCTAAGAATCACAAGAAATAAGCTGGAGATAATGTTATATCAGTATTCAAATGTCCATTATCTCATGAGACAGACCCAAAAAAAACAATACCATGGGGGAGAGAGGGAAAAGAGATGGATTTTCTCAAATACAGAGCAGCAAGAGAACTGGGAAACCATCTGCTACAATAGGCTTGAGAGCTGTCTGGAGGGAAAAGGGGGATTTAAGAAAGACAGGAAGCCCCTAAAATCCCAGAGACAAAGCGACAGCAGAACAGACTGCTCATCCCTCCGGGCACTACCTGCAGGCAAGCAGCACTTCTTGGACAAAAACTACGAGAAAAGGGAAAACACAGAATGTCAGAATGCCTGACAGCCCTACATGAAACATGGAAATCAAAAAAATAGGCTCGGTACAGCCATGGCACAATTCACAATACCACTATTGAAATACATAGCAACTGAGGAGCAAATAACAGCGTTTAGCTATAAGGACTCTAGGATTCAGATATTGGAAAAAGAAGAGTTTGTACTAACTAAATAATTCATCATTAACTCACTTCCCCCGCCCAACCTCCGCCAGCAGGTAAGGCAAGTTGTGAGGACATTTATTCAGTGTTAAACTATATATAAACTCTGCACTGAAACTATTTTGCCACCCTGGCAGGAAGCGGCTGTTAATTTAGCTCTAACAGCCCGAGCTGTTTGCTGGAGAGAAGCATGGTGCAGGGCTACCTGCAGTTGCTCCCTGGGGATGCTCCTGGTCCCTGTGGCCAGCCCACATGGTGCCATTGGTAAAAGCAATGTTTTTCTAGAAAGCAGCATCTCTCCTTGGTGCTTTGAAGAGGCTCCTCAGCTTGGGCCACTTAATCTTGCCAGGACCATGTTGTTTGAAGCGGTGATGCAAAGCCCCAGGACACGGTTTCACTTCTGCTGAAACCGCCCGCATCTGCAGAGCTGCCGGGAACACGCTCCCAAACGCTTCTTGAACTGCGGCCTTGAACGCCATGAGGCCTCCCCTCAGCCTGCTCTGCTCTGGGCTGGACAAACCAAGGGACCTCAGCCACTCCTCATATGTCTTGCCCTCTAGACCCTTCCCCATCTTTGTATCCCTCCTTTGGACACTCTCCAATAGTTTTATGTCCTTTTTATGCTGCGATGCCCCAAACTGCACACAGTGCTCAAGGGGAGGCCGCACCAGTGCAGAGCGGAGCGGGACAATCACTTCCCTCATGAGAATGAGTAATGAGTAATAGGATGTGAGTAATTCCTATTTTCTTATTAAAAACAAACTAAAGCAAGAGTATTTGATGTTCTGGTCTCTTCTTGCCCCTTGTGCAAAAACAATCACTTTCGTGCATGTCTAGTTTTAAAGACCCTCAGCACGTACTAACTTCTACCTCCACCTGGAGTTACTTCTTGGGATCCATCTAATTTCTCTCTCATTTGAATGCAACTATTAGGCTAGGGTAAAGTAAATAAAGCTTAAAAAAAACGACAAAAGGAAACAAAAGGATTACACAAACAACCTGTTCTGGGGAAGGGAAAACAACCCTTGTTGTTTTTTGCAATTGCCTTGTCACTGGCTTTGTCTGGCGAAGCCATTTCTTCTCCTGCGTGTGACAAGGTGGCCCCAGGTCAATACGTGTCCCGTCCCGGGGGGCTGTGACCCCTGCTGGCCCACTGGGCCCCCGCACCTTTGACGTCGCACAGGCTGCTTTCTGAGAAGCCGTCGCTGAGGTCAATGAGCGTCCCCTCCGACTTGCAGCGCGGCAGGGCGCTGGAGTTGGCTGCCCGGATCCTCTGCGCCGCCATCTCGAGCCCGCCGAGATGCCCAGGGCTGGGGGCTGCTAGGTGGTCATGGCCTCTCTGCAGACCCCGCTGTCACCACAGCGCCCTGGGGAAGCAGCCTGCAGACAAAAACAAAGCCCAGCACGTTAGCAAAGCCTCCAGCTCTCGGCACGACACCCACACGGCGCACCTTGCAAGACGCGAGCTTAACACGTGCCACAGCTTCAGCCTCAGGCTGACTCAGGGCAGCTGCATCCTCCCTTTCCCATTTGTTTATCAAAAAAGCACTCCGGAGAAAAAGCCATCATCTCTCCGCACCTGCACGCCAACCCTACAGTGCTGATTCAGGAGGACTTCCTCATATCAGAGAATCACAGAAGGATTTGATGAAGGTTGGAAGGGACCTCTGGAGGACACATGGTCCAACCCCCTGCTGAAGCAGCTTGCTCAGGACCATGTCCAGGGTCATATTGTCATATGCTTTAAGTCTCTGCTTTAAGAAGCTGCTCCCAAGGTGCCAGACAGATCTCACAAATATTGCACAGTCTGTGCACACCCCTTTGCAGCCCTTCTTCTCCCAGCCCTCCCCAATGGGACTGTCCAGAGACACAACCAGGCTGGGACAGCACCCACAAATGCAGACCTCTTCCTCTGCCACAAAGCCTGTTCTCCTCCACCACCTGGCTTCACACTGCCCTCCTCTTCCCTGATCTCTTATCTTTTCCCCATTTCACACACATCTACCAGACCCAAAGTGTAAATGGATTTCAGGGTGCTGAGAGCAAGTACAGAAAGCACCTTGTCCTGCAAACAGCACAATGCTGCCCCAGGAGACTCCCTTACAAAGTCACCAAGCAACAAGACGATGACAAAAAGGCTGTGGCTGAGGTCTCAGGCAGTTTCTTTGAAAGCTGTGCTCTCCAGCAGGGCAGCACAGGGCAACACCAGCTGCCGAGCCATCACATGCAGCTCTGGGGCCATGCCCATGCCGCTGGCATCGCAGCTGGCCACGCGGAGGAGGTAATGGGGTGGCATTTCTACCCTCCTGCATGACTTGCGCAAGCCTGTGGAGCTGGTGGCTTATTAGAGTCACTCTCCTAAGTCACCTCAAAACCACATCCCCGTGTGCTGGCTCTGGTATCCCATAGATGCTAGCGGATCCCGAGCAGCAGAGGACGAGCCTAAGCCTTCCTCTCCAGTGGCTTCTTGCAGAGTTTCCAGGCTGGTAAGTGGGTACTTGCCAGAGATGCTTACTGCCATGGGATGTGGGGATTAACCCACGTGGCAGGAAGCTCCAGCAGCCACTTTTTTTTTTTTTCCAGAAACGCTTGCAAAAATACTCTACAGGGTTAAACAGTGTGGAAGAACAGACACATGGCTGCATTAGAGCCAAGGGAAAAATTAACCCATTTCCTGCTGCCTGCAGAACATGCCGGCCCTCTGACCACAAACACGGTGGCTGATGCAAGCACTGGCAATCCCTCCGCTGGTGTCACCAGGGCTGCTCTGGAGCTTGGAGGGTGGCCAGGAAGGCCAGGAGCTACAGAGCACCACCAGCTCTGAACAGAAAGCCCTCCGCAATCAAAAGCTCTATCCAAACCCAAATTCTCTTCCTCGAGCTCAGCAACCCAAAGGGCTTTTAATCCCCTCCTAACATTGTTCTCCCTTCCTCCCCGCCCCATACAAGTTTTTTCCCTTGCTTGCAAACCAGATCAAGCAGAAAATAACTCCCAAACCCAAATTCCTCAGACGGCAGAGCTCTGCTGGGGATATGGAGATAAAGGAAACATGAAGGCAAGCAACTGCCGGGCTGCAGCTGGCTGCTATTACACCAGTGGGCAGGGTGAGGAGAAGCAAGCCCGGAAGGACTCGGTGCCCTTTTCTGGAATGCAGAAAGAGGAAATTTGCATCCCAGGCGGGAGAGTCTGAGCAGGAGATACTCCAGCCTGCTCCAGACACTTCAGAAGCCATCCCGGGGCTGGTATGCCAGGAATGCAGTTAGGGGTAAGGATGCAGGAGGCTCCAGACTGAAAGGAAAGGGAGAACTCTTGTGCAAACACTTTTTCCTCGGAGAAGAGTTGTTTTGGGTCCTGCTGGAGCACTCTGGAGGGAGAGGGGTTTGCACACCCTGGGTTCTGCCCCTGCAAACCCCACAGAAACTTGGTAGGGTCTTGTAGGGGTTCTGCTGCCGGGCTGCAGGGTTAAAGCCCTCTGGCTCCATGCAGGCACAAACTCCAGCTCTAGATGTGCAGCATCATCGTCACAGAAACACCTAAAGTGGCTAATTTTCCCCAATTTTAGCAATTCTCACACACAATCCTCTTAAAAGCAAACAAAGAAAAGCCAGACTAAACAAATACTTTGACAGCCCAAAGGTTGTCCCTGCGTGGGGAGCACTGCACGAAGGCTTCTTGAGCAAGAAAGAAACCAGTCATAGATAAGTGGCTTTCCTGAGAATTAAAGTGTGAGCCATGAATACATTTTTAAATACCTGCTTGGTAGTCCAGTGCCAAATATTTTCAGTATCACCCACGAGCCTCGCAGTGCCTGGAATGTGCAGGGAGGGATGCTCCCCCTCCCCGCCTTCCCATAACCACTACATGGGAAGCTTTATGCTAAAGGGCTGTGCCAGATGTGATTGTGCAGAGAAACAGCTGGGAAAATAAGCCCTACATGCATCCCAAATCTCACAAGACAGCAAGAATGTACATTAAAAATGACTGATTATGAAAAGCCATTTCCTCTCCCTAATGCAGGATCTTGCTCTGGATGTAGCAACGCACAGAAGGATGTGGGTGCACCCACCCCACTGCAATTTTTAGGGATTTTTATTTATTTTTTAAATGTTTTGGAGCTGACAGCTCCCAGGAGAGGAACAGGGCTGATTCTGAATGCAGAGCCGGGACAAAACAAATCAGCAGGAATAAGCTTGCTCCTTCAAACCTGGACTAGGTGAGAATAAAAGGGGACAGGCGGGTGCTGGGTTGCCGTGGCAGGAATTGTTTGGAAGTCACTTCTATAGCCAGGGCTGAGACACAATGGGCTGCAAACTCCTCTGAAAGCGCTTTAAATATAGAATAGGACAAAAAAAACAACACAGGTCCATCTGTTGTCCCACAGCAATAAACAGCATCCTTAATGAGTGGAGGAAAGGAAATGGGGGGCGAGTTAGTGAAGACCTTTTCCCCCTGTGTATGTCCCTGTCTGGCAGCATGCAGGGACGAGGCGAGGAGCCCACTGCGACCACTTCACCCTGTGCAAGCAAGGAAGATGATGGTACCTCAACACACGCCCAGCTCCAAAGCCCCTGCATCCCCTTTTCGTGCCAGTTTGCTCCTCCCAGAAGGGAAAGGCAAAAAAATCCAATGCCAACCACCAGCACGAAAACGAGCTTGCTTTCCCCGTGCACGGCTCCTTGTGCTGACATCCCACGGGGTGACAGCAGCTGCTGCCTCCTCCCCACCCTGCCCGCTGGATTTCTGCGCCCGGGGGACATCACGAGCCTCTGGACTCACATCCTGTGACTCACCCCTCCGAGAATCAACACGGCGGCTGGCGACGGCGACTCGCCGAGCAGACTCAGCTTTGCATCAGCCGGGGCTACAAATAAGTTTTGTCTGGTGGGGACAACACCCAGGCGGGACAGGCAAACACCAGACCCTCACCACGCTCCTCTCCTCGCGGTTTCTCAGGGCTAATTACCTCCACGTGCTGTCCCCGGCCAGCAGGATCTCCCGGGTCTTGAATCAGAGCCATTTGGGGAATGCCTGCTCCTGGATCTCCCCTCTGTGGGACCTGGGGGCTCTGGTGGTGAGCGGAATGAGGAGCAGCATCGAGCCCCCGGTGGCAGCAGGGGACCAGGACCCAGGACGGGGAGACGCCGCTCCCTGCAGCGGATGCTGCTCCTCGTCGGGAGGGGTGGCTTAGCCCGGAAACCAAGCCCCAGCCCAGCCTGCTCCTGCTCCTCTGTGCTCTCCCCTCTTGCTTTTTATCCACCCCACAGACCCCGGTGCCCACCCTCCTGCCCAGCCCGGTCTGATGGTGGCACGATGGGGACGGCAGCAGCGAGCCCCATCCTCCCCCCCCGTTATAGCCCCGTCTGTCACACCAAGCCGATACCGGAGGGATTAAAGTCCACGTCCACCTCTGGCTGCACACCGCAGTTATTTCTGCCATCAGCTGAGCCTCCCCGGCTCGGCACCTCTGTTTAAGCCTTATTCTCATGCCGGATTGACAAAGAGGCCCATATCTTATCTAGGGAATTTAATCACCGCTGAACTATGAAGCAAAGGCGTAGCACAGGCATCCCAGCCAGGCTAAACTGGATTAGTGCAGAAAAGCAATTTCGGGAAAAATCCTCATCGGCGGTCTAATCCCCACGTCTGCGGGCAGAGAAATACAATAACAGCTCGGAAGCACACAGAAGCCAAATCCTTGAGGGCAGGTAGCAGGATTTGCTCCCTGCCTAGGGGTGGCTTCCTGGGAGCATCCCCAGGCATGGGGCAAAACGCACAAGCCTGCTGAGAATTTTTGCTGATAAGAGGGAGGGCTCGCAGGGCTGCCCGGTACCAAGCACGGGGCTGGAGATGGAGCCAGGACCTTCCACAGGCAGCCAAACGAAGGGCAGCAGGCTGCCAAAGGGTGGTGGGGAGGATGATGCACAAACTGCTGTGCTCGCAGGCGTGTTCTTCCTGGGTAATAATAAAAAGCCCATCAAATCCTTCACGGGAAAAAGTTTGGGGAACCTTCCCCTTCTGGCTGCACAGACCCCCAGAGAAGAAAGAGCTCGTAATCCATCGCTCATCATCCTCCTCCAGCTTCCCACACCAAAGCCAAGACCAACCCCAGTCACTTGCTGCTAATTATTTTTCCATTTACCTTTTATTTACCAAAGTCAAGATCCCCCTAGCTCTCCTAAAAAAACAACAAATACAACAGAAGTGGTTCTGGAAGTTTTAAAACGCAGTCAGCATTATTTAAAGGCAAGTGAATTTAACTCTTTGTAGCCAGAAATTAATTTTCCGTAGCTACCCATGGAGCACGTTCATCCTAGGCAATAAATTCACCGAAAATGTTGCTTCTGTCACTGCTACTGTAAGTATAGTGGACCTCCCCCTGGTGCCACCGCCACGGCAGCAGGGTCTGGCAGCCAGCACGCTGCAGTGAATCCCGGCTTCTTGCATGCTGCTGACCTTGGGCAGGAGTCCTGGGGGCAAAGCATCTCGCCCCCTGCCTGCCTGGCCTCTTCTGTAAGGCACTTTGAGCCCTGCTGGTAAGGAAGAGCTGCCTGCTGTTGTTTTTTCTCTAGAAGCCTGGCCCAAGCATCTCAGGGCCACATACCCTGGTGATTCCCAAGTTTGTCACCTTTCTGTTACCTCCTCCTTCTGCTTTACCGCTTGTGTTTGCGCAGCCAATGCTTTCATCTTTCAAAAAAAAAAAAAAACAAAGACAAAAAACCCAACCAAAGATAAAACGCTCCTTAAGACAACACAAAACACAAGCTCTTTGTACCAGAAAGAACATGTTTGTCTGAACTCACGTACGCCCCGGAACAACTCCTGGGAGACGTGAGAGAAGAAAACGAGTTATTTCAGCAAACGAGAAGGGACTTGCAGGAACACGGGGACCTCCAGTCCCTCCCACGGTGCCCTCATCTCCCATGGGTTTCCTTCAGGTCCCACCCCGGGAGGCTGCGTGCAACACGGCACAAACCCTGCCCAGCCCCAGCGAGGAGGCTGCGGATCGCCTCTGACGTGCAGGTCCAGAAATAAGAAACTGGAACATTTGGAAAGAAAAAAAAATATATATATAGTTATCCGTGCCCACCCTGCTGATCGTGCTGATCCCACTTTGTGTGCCGAGCAGCAGGGGCTCGATGCTGGCAGCCGGCAGCGGTGCTGGCCAGGGAGCACAGCCTGTGCCAAGCACTATGGAAAAATCCAGCCTGCAAGGACGGGACGGCAGGGAGCCAGCAGAATGGCAGGACGATGCTGCACACCCTCGTCTTCCTCCTCTCCTGAGGATGCTGGCATGCCGAGCGCCGCAAGCTGCTCCCATTTAGGGCTCCTGCCGAGCACGGTGCTCTTTGCCAGCCCCAGCACGCAAAGGATGGGAATTTGGCACGTGCAAGCAATTTGACTCACAGCTCTTGGGGGCACGGGGGGCACTGCAGGGGAAAAAAAATGTGATTATTGCTGAGGACGTGTTCCCCGTGTCTGCTGGCACCTAGGGAGAGGGAACCCGCTGCAGCCTCCCTAACGGGTGCGTTACCCTTTGCAAGCGAGGCAAGGAAGGACAGGAAAAGCTTCCTTTTATAGCAATGACTTTGGAGCACGAGTCTCATTGAAAGTCAGTGCTGGAGACGGAGATGCAAGCGGCTAAATACAGATCAGGTGTCTTTGGGGTAAGAGAGCTTTCCCTGCAGTGCCTGCCAAGCTCGGTCCCCAGCCTCACAGCTCCCCACCGCCTTCGCCATCCATTCCCCGTGCAACCAGCCACCTAGCCAGGAGAAACCACTGCCCCAGCAACGCTCACCTCCGCTGCAGCATTCAGCGAGGGGACTGAAACGCCACCAAAGCCAGGTTAGGATGCCTGGGAGCTGACAGCAAACCCACCGAGAGGGTTTGTGAAACACATTGCGCCACCGAGCGCTCCCGGCTTCCAGCCCCGACCCTGCAAACGCAAAGCACAAAGTCCAGCTCAGAGGGTGCTCAGCTTGGAGAGCGGCCCCCAGGCAGCCTTGGGATGTTTTTTTCTGCCTAAATATCAGGCAGCGTCTCTGTGCTGGGCCCCTGGCACAGGCTGCCCAGAGCCTGGGGGGGCTCCTCCTTGGGGAGCTTCAGGAGGCACCGGGACCTGGGGCTGGGCACCCTGCTCGGGGTGGCCCTGCTGGAGCAGGGCTGGGGCGGGTGGGCAAATCAAACATCTTCCAAGGGAAAAGCACTTCCTAATTCAGGTGGGAAAGTCCGTGTTGTTTTTTTTGTTTTGTTTTTTTTTGCACAGATGCAGACGGAGCCTCCTCCACAAGAGCAGGGAGGTTCTTCCAACCAAGTCCTCACGGGGACCATGGAGAGCATGAAAATCCCAAATCACACCCAGCGCAGAGCTCCCAGGGGTTAAACAGAGAAGCCACAAACCCCCATATAAAATCCCCAAAGGAAACGGGAGCCCAGGACGGTGCCTGTGAACGTGCAGAGCCGAGCAGCAATGCAACGAAGCAGAGGCGGCTCCGGGAATCGCTGCTGCGAGGCACCAATTAGCAGCTTCAGCACGAAGCCACCCTCCCTATTTGCGCCCGGAGGACGTTTGCTGGGGCAGAGGAGGGCGAGGAGCCAGCACTTCAGGAGCACACCGGGCGCTGCCTCTTTGTAAGCACCCGGGCAACTTTCCCTGCTCTCCGCACCAGCTTCGTTACCTGCATTCAGCTCGGCAGCACGGCAATTTGGGGCATGGTGTCCCTGCTTTGGAATGAAGAGATGGGTTTTGCTCAGTGCTGTTAGCAGCCAGCGGCTTTTGCAGGGGTCGGGAACAGCAGCAGCTCTTCCTTCCAGCCCTTGCAAGCCTCTCCGAGGTCTTTGCAAGCCCCTACAAAGGTCTTCGCAAGTCCAAGAGCTCTGCCGGCGGCTGCAGCTCCTGAGGTTTGCTCAGAGCCAACAGCAAGGAACAATCGACCTTTCAGAAAAGGGGGAACTGATATTTGAGCCAGTCCAGGCCTCAGAACAAGCCAACACAGGGAACCTATGACAAAGGAGGAGTGAAACCCAGATTTCCAGAGGTGCAATCCAGCCACTGACTACAGGGAGACACTTTTAAGGAAGAGACGGCCTTGTCTGTCAGCAGAAATCCCCTCTGTGGCTCACAATCTTTTATCTGATGCCTTAGAAGAGGAGGATGGTTGGCCCTGATGATCTTTGGGGTCTTTTTTTTCATGTGGAAGAGATGCTCCTCACGGTTCCCCATGCAATCTCAGGGCAATGCTCAGAAAGAGCAGGCAAAGGGCAGCCAGAAACGTGCCTTCTGGCATAGGACATGCCAAGGCAAGCAAGTGCACCCACAAAGTCACATCACTGTGCTGCCGTGGCCACCCTTTTAACCATGGCAGCAAGCTGGTAAACTGAAATGTGGAAGCTTGAAGCACTGTGAAAGGCTTTCCTTGAGCCAAAAGCTCCGGAGATGAGCTAGCCCCTCACTTACACTCCATCTTTTCCCCCAGACTGATGCAGAAACAACTCTATGCAGCTCTCTGCCCAGCCAGGACATATCTCACAGGCTGAAAATCCATCCTGCGTGGTCCTCTGGACTTACCTGAGCTGCTGCACTTGAAAAGAAAAGGTTTTACTCAAGACCAGAGGTACCACATCCTAGGATGGCCCCACAGCAGCCCCCACGTAGAGGACGTCGTAAGCAGGTAGCCAGATTCAGCCCCAAAGTCAGCTGGGCTGGCCGCTGACCTATTTTGAAGAATCATTTGGGAACTTCCTTTGGGGAAAAAATAAAAAAAAAAAATAAAAAAAAAAGAGGGGTTTCGTTCCCAGCTCACTGCCTCCACAGCCAGCACCTAGCAGCCAGCTCCTCACACTAATGAATAAAACCTCTTTGGATTATCATACAGGAGAACTCACTCGAGTGATGAGCTCGTGCAAAAGCTTAACCTTGATTTAATGTTCTTACACACCTTGTTGATTAGCCCAGGTACTGATCTGCTGGTGGATTACACGATGCTTTCAGCTATGCTGAAAATGCTGACAGGAGCCAAAATCTATCACAAGCCTGAATTAGGCAGAAACAAATGCAATCAGCACATTGCAATGAATTCCCTCAAAACAGCATTTTTAAGCACTCTGCCTCGGTAAACATTTCCCAGGCAGATTCCCCATGACACCTGGTTTTAAGCAGCTTAACCGTTTGCTGGAGCTGACAGTCTCTTGCATGAAAGCAAGGAAGAAAACACTCTGCTAAACCAGAATACAGGTTCCTGCTCCGTGCTTGACTCAACCCTGGCCCGTGATCCCATGCTGAAAAGCTCCTTCAGAGCAGTAAGATGCCTGGAAAGCAGCCCCACAGCTCGTTCTGCCATTCCTCTGAAGGGCAGGCATGCAGCCCGAGGTGGAAGAACTAGACGTGAGGGCAGGCATCTGCTCAGACCCAGGGCGAGGATTAGGATGTGCTGCAAAAAGCTGTGAGCTGTCTGTACTTCTGCTAACTTGGTCAGCGTCGCTTGCCCTGTGCTTTCTCCTCTCAGTGGCTGCGTGGTAAATTCGCAC